TGTATACAGTCTGTGTTAGCATTAGCATCTGTATACAGTCTGTGTTAGCATTAGCATCTGTATACAGTCTGTGTTAGCATTAGCATCTGTATACAGTCTGTGTTAGCATTAGCATCTGTATACAGTCTGTGTTAGCATTAGCATCTGTATACAGTCTGTGTTAGCATTAGCATCTGTATACAGTCTGTGTTAGCATTAGCATCTGTATACAGTCTGTGTTAGCATTAGCATCTGTATACAGTCTGTGTTAGCATTAGCATCTGTATACAGTCTGTGTTAGCATTAGCATCTGTATACAGTCTGTGTTAGCATTAGCATCTGTATACAGTCTGTGTTAGCATTAGCATCTGTATACAGTCTGTGTTAGCATTAGCATCTGTATACAGTCTGTGTTAGCATTAGCATCTGTATACAGTCTGTGTTAGCATTAGCATCTGTATACAGTCTGTGTTAGCATTAGCATCTGTATACAGTCTGTGTTAGCATTAGCATCTGTATACAGTCTGTGTTAGCATTAGCATCTGTATACAGTCTGTGTTAGCATTAGCATCTGTATACAGTCTGTGTTAGCATTAGCATCTGTATACAGTCTGTGTTAGCATTAGCATCTGTATACAGTCTGTGTTAGCATTAGCATCTGTATACAGTCTGTGTTAGCATTAGCATCTGTATACAGTCTGTGTTAGCATTAGCATCTGTATACAGTCTGTGTTAGCATTAGCATCTGTATACAGTCTGTGTTAGCATTAGCATCTGTATACAGTCTGTGTTAGCATTAGCATCTGTATACAGTCTGTGTTAGCATTAGCATCTGTATACAGTCTGTGTTAGCATTAGCATCTGTATACAGTCTGTGTTAGCATTAGCATCTGTATACAGTCTGTGTTAGCATTAGCATCTGTATACAGTCTGTGTTAGCATTAGCATCTGTATACAGTCTGTGTTAGCATTAGCATCTGTATACAGTCTGTGTTAGCATTAGCATCTGTATACAGTCTGTGTTAGCATTAGCATCTGTATACAGTCTGTGTTAGCATTAGCATCTGTATACAGTCTGTGTTAGCATTAGCATCTGTATACAGTCTGTGTTAGCATTAGCATCTGTATACAGTCTGTGTTAGCATTAGCATCTGTATACAGTCTGTGTTAGCATTAGCATCTGTATACAGTCTGTGTTAGCATTAGCATCTGTATACAGTCTGTGTTAGCATTAGCATCTGTATACAGTCTGTGTTAGCATTAGCATCTGTATACAGTCTGTGTTAGCATTAGCATCTGTATACAGTCTGTGTTAGCATTAGCATCTGTATACAGTCTGTGTTAGCATTAGCATCTGTATACAGTCTGTGTTAGCATTAGCATCTGTATACAGTCTGTGTTAGCATTAGCATCTGTATACAGTCTGTGTTAGCATTAGCATCTGTATACAGTCTGTGTTAGCATTAGCATCTGTATACAGTCTGTGTTAGCATTAGCATCTGTATACAGTCTGTGTTAGCATTAGCATCTGTATACAGTCTGTGTTAGCATTAGCATCTGTATACAGTCTGTGTTAGCATTAGCATCTGTATACAGTCTGTGTTAGCATTAGCATCTGTATACAGTCTGTGTTAGCATTAGCATCTGTATACAGTCTGTGTTAGCATTAGCATCTGTATACAGTCTGTGTTAGCATTAGCATCTGTATACAGTCTGTGTTAGCATTAGCATCTGTATACAGTCTGTGTTAGCATTAGCATCTGTATACAGTCTGTGTTAGCATTAGCATCTGTATACAGTCTGTGTTAGCATTAGCATCTGTATACAGTCTGTGTTAGCATTAGCATCTGTATACAGTCTGTGTTAGCATTAGCATCTGTATACAGTCTGTGTTAGCATTAGCATCTGTATACAGTCTGTGTTAGCATTAGCATCTGTATACAGTCTGTGTTAGCATTAGCATCTGTATACAGTCTGTGTTAGCATTAGCATCTGTATACAGTCTGTGTTAGCATTAGCATCTGTATACAGTCTGTGTTAGCATTAGCATCTGTATACAGTCTGTGTTAGCATTAGCATCTGTATACAGTCTGTGTTAGCATTAGCATCTGTATACAGTCTGTGTTAGCATTAGCATCTGTATACAGTCTGTGTTAGCATTAGCATCTGTATACAGTCTGTGTTAGCATTAGCATCTGTATACAGTCTGTGTTAGCATTAGCATCTGTATACAGTCTGTGTTAGCATTAGCATCTGTATACAGTCTGTGTTAGCATTAGCATCTGTATACAGTCTGTGTTAGCATTAGCATCTGTATACAGTCTGTGTTAGCATTAGCATCTGTATACAGTCTGTGTTAGCATTAGCATCTGTATACAGTCTGTGTTAGCATTAGCATCTGTATACAGTCTGTGTTAGCATTAGCATCTGTATACAGTCTGTGTTAGCATTAGCATCTGTATACAGTCTGTGTTAGCATTAGCATCTGTATACAGTCTGTGTTAGCATTAGCATCTGTATACAGTCTGTGTTAGCATTAGCATCTGTATACAGTCTGTGTTAGCATTAGCATCTGTATACAGTCTGTGTTAGCATTAGCATCTGTATACAGTCTGTGTTAGCATTAGCATCTGTATACAGTCTGTCTCTCTCTCTCTGGTCTCTCTCTGGTCTCTCTCTGGTCTCTCTCTCTGGTCTCTCTCTGGTCTCTCTCTCTGGTCTCTCTCTCTGGTCTCTCTCTGGTCTCTCTCTCTGGTCTCTCTCTCTGGTCTCTCTCTCTGGTCTCTCTCTCTGGTCTCTCTCTGGTCTCTCTCTCTGGTCTCTCTCTGGTCTCTCTCTCTGGTCTCTCTCTCTGGTCTCTCTCTCTGGTCTCTCTCTCTGGTCTCTCTCTGGTCTCTCTCTGGTCTCTCTCTGGTCTCTCTCTGGTCTCTCTCTCTGGTCTCTCTCTCTGGTCTCTCTCTCTGGTCTCTCTCTCTGGTCTCTCTCTCTGGTCTCTCTCTCTGGTCTCTCTCTCTGGTCTCTCTCTCTGGTCTCTCTCTCTGGTCTCTCTCTCTGGTCTCTCTCTCTGGTCTCTCTCTCTGGTCTCTCTCTCTGGTCTCTCTCTGGTCTCTCTCTCTGGTCTCTCTCTCTGGTCTCTCTCTCTGGTCTCTCTCTCTGGTCTCTCTCTGGTCTCTCTCTCTGGTCTCTCTCTCTGGTCTCTCTCTCTGGTCTCTCTCTCTGGTCTCTCTCTCTGG